TCTGGACATCCAGTTCCCCCGCACCATTTGTTAAAAAGCCTAGTTTTCCTCCAACATAATATTTTTGGCACATTTGTCAAGGATCAGATGGCCATATCTACCTGGCTTTGTCCAGCTCTCCTGTTCCATTGGTCCTCGCGTATAAAGAACTTTAAAAACTACTGAGCCCAAGAGGGATGGCTTCTAAACCTCATCCCGACCTACTCCAGCTCTCTAATGCAGTCGGATACTTCTGACGTGAGCCGCCACATCTTCAGTGTGCCAGCACTTCTTCAGATACTATTTCTTCTGCAAGAACCACCCTTTCTTCCTGTCCACCAATCAAGCACCTGTGCACACTAGAAACCTTTACATACTTCTTCGGGTGAAGCCCATTCTACCCACTCTGGGAAGAACTAGTCTTTACCTCTGCAACTCCACAAGTATTTGTTCAAACTTCTATTAAAATACTTAATCTTGTTTAAAAAAAAAAAAAAMAAAAACAAAACTTTAAAAACCTCATACCAAAAAACAACCCAACCGATAAACAGGCAAACGAACTATACAGATATTTCTCAAAAGCAGCAATACAAATGGCCAACAAATACAGGAAAAGAGGTTCACCATCCTTAGCAATCAGGGAAATGCAAAGCAAAACTACCCTGAGATTCCATCTCCCTCTAGTCAGAATGGCAGCCATCAAGAATACAGGTCACAGCAAATGTTGGCAAAGATGGGGGGAAAGAGTACACTCGTGCTTAACTAGCAATTCAGTAGTTTAGAAGTAATAACTAGTAATTTAGTAATTTAGAAGATGTGGGTAAAGGGTACACTCACRCTTAACTGGCAGGGCTGCAAATCAGTACCAGCACTCTGGAGAGCAGTATGGAGATTTCTCAAAAGACAGGAAACAGAACCACCAAGGAACCACTGACCCGGTCCTGAAAACCAGGATTGGGTCTTCATTCCTCCAGTGTTGAAAATTAAACACCAGAGAAACACTGGAGCAAGAAAACAAGTTTTATTCAAGAGACAAGAGAGAGAGAGAGACTCCTCTGGAGAGGAGGGTCCAGGGCTGGTGCCAGGCAGTGGGGGTGTCTTGCCCCTTATAGATTTCAGGTTTCCTGTCTTCCCGAGCCTACGTGAGCAAAGGGCAGGGACAGCGCTGCCAGGGGCTGACCGCTCGTGTGGGGACGTGCGACCTTCCCTCCCCAGAGGTAGGCAGCCTGGTGCTGGGAAGTGCTACCTACCCACTTCCTTTTCCTTGATTATCACCAGCCTGCCCTTTGCCCATCCCACCACCATTCGGCCCAGCTATCCCACTCCTTGGTATTCATCCAAAAGAACTAAAATCGGCATACTTTAGGGATACAGAGATGGCAATGTTCACAGCAGCAAAATCCACAAGAGCCAAGGTTGGAACCTGCCATCAACAGAGAAGTGGAGAAAGGAAATGTGGGCTATTGACAGCGGAGCTCTACTCGGCCACAGGGAGGAGGAGAGCATGTCACCTGCAGTAAACGGGTGGCATGGAGACACCACGGCAGGCGAAATGAGCCAGACTCAGAACGACGAGGTGCAGTGGGAAAGCCAGAGAGGAACTAGGCATCTGAAGAGGAGGAGCCCAGGAAACAGAGGAGTGAGAACAGCGCAGGAAAGGAAGGGCACTGGGGGGAGATGGAAAAGGGCGGGAACTGCAGGTGATGGTGACCTCATCGCGTGGTGTGGTGCACGGACATTTCACAGTGAGCTCCACTGTACATGTGACCACAGAGCACCAATCCAAACACAGTGGACAAAGGAAGACCAAGAGAGAGGACGGGCCGAGGGGGGAGGAGGAGGAAAGCGGAAGAACTGGGGCCTGAGATGGAGTGGATCATGGCGCATGCATTTGTAAATAGTCAAAATGAACTCACTATTACGGGTAACTATAACATGCGAATAAAGACATTTTAAAAAAAAAAAACACTGTAAGAGGGGCTAGCGCTGTGGCTCGGTGGCAGAGCACTTGCCTGGCATGTGTGAGGCACTGGGTTCAATTCTCAGCACCATATAAAAATAAATAAAAATAAGATAAAGGTCCATCGACAACTAAAAAAATATTTAAAAAATAAAAACACTGTCAAGGAAAAGTCAAGCCACAGGCTGGAAGAAAATTTATCTCCTAAAGAACTTGTATCCAAAATACATAAATTTAGAACTTTCAGAACCCAATAAGAAACAAACACCCTAATTAATACCCGGCTAAAAACTTGGACACTTTACCAAGGAAGACGTAAGATGGCAAATAAGCACATGAAAAGACTTCAACTTCATAAGCCCTTAAGGAAATGCAATATAATCACGAAAAACTCCGACGACGACGGCCACACCCAGCCACACGACAGAGAGGACCTGGAACCCCGCAGCCAGGGGAGTCTAAGATGCGCAGCGCCTGGGAACAGCTGGGCCGCTTCTTAAAAAGAAACTTCACGCACCCTACGACTCCGCAGTCTCGCCCCGAGGCTCCAAAACTACAGGAGGAAGGCACTGACCCAGAGGCAGTCCACAGCAGCTCTGTCCCTCCCATAGGAGCAGCCCCTGTCACTGCCCGCACACAGACCCACTCACCGGACACCCTATGGGGGCGCCCTCACTGCTCAGCGGGAACAGGGAACGACCGTGGGTCCAGGCTGCGATGTGGGCACACGGGAAAGTGACTGCAGAGCAAAARAAGCCAGGCTCGCCCCCACAGAGCACACGTCCCTGACCTTGTTCACACAGTCCAAGGACACGCAGACGTCAGCACAGCAACAAAAAGCCAGGGACTGGGGGGCAGGGGACAAGGAGGCAGGTGGGAGGCGGTCCGTTCTCCACCACCTCCTCTGGAAAGAGACCTGCCGCCCCTGGGAGGGAAACCTTTACTGTGGTCCTTGGAGGAGCTCAGTGGCCACATCTGGCAGCTCTACATGTGGGCTCACCTCTAAAGCCAGGGTCAGCAAACGACTGCCCACAGGCCGCCCTGTCCCTCTGGGCAGTCCTGCAGAACCCAGCCCCTACATTCACCTCCACACAGCTGTCTTTGCCCCCCTGGGCTGGAGTGGCTGCCACCACAAGGCTCCATCACCTGATGTGATGACCATCTGGCCCTTCAAGAGTCTGCTGACTCCTGCTCAAAGAAACGTGCTCTGCGAGCCAGACACGGGCACACTGTTGACAGCAGCAGCGGCTGGGGACACCCATGCGTGCATTGATGAAGATGAGTAAACCAATCAGGGATCCAGCCCTCAACTACAGTGATACACTGACCCACAGGTGTGGAAACAGGGAGAGCTTCAGAAACACGTCACCCGAAGAAAGCCACCTGCACCATGTGACATCACAACGTGACAGCACCAAGTGAGGCAGCCCCAGGGGAAAGCAGAGGGCAGCGAGGCGGCTAGGGGCTGCCCTCCAGAAAATGGGGCAAAAAGCACTTCAACTTCTCCCTTATTTAAAACAAAACTGACCAAAATGTTTTAAGAACAAATTAAACTTAAATCTGATGTTTATCAATATCCTAGAAAACCAGAGAGAGGTTTTCTGCGGGCTCCTCCCCACCCAGCTGCACATCACCCCACCTTCAAACAGCTGACTGAGCTTTCTCAAACCAAGAGATATTCATGAAACAAAGACAACTTCCCCTTTTATCTTCTGAAGTTAAGTGATTTACCAATGTGAAATTTACCCTTCAAAGGAGGACTGAAACAAAGTCCCAGTATGCTTTGTACAAAAAATGGAGCTAGCCAGGYGCGGTGGCACACGCCTGTAATCCCAGCAGCTCAGGAGGCAGAGGCAGGAGGATTGAGATTTCAAAGCCAGCCTCAGCAACAGCGAGGCGCTAAGCAACTCAGTGAGACCCTGTCTCTAAATAAAATGCAAAACAGGGGGCTGGGGATGGGGCTCAGCAGCAGCGCACTGGCCTGGCACATGTGAGGCACCACATTTATACGTGAGTCTCAGCACCACATATAAATAAATAAATAAAGATCTATCAACAACTAAAAAAAAAAATACACAACAGGACTGGGATGAGGCTCACTGGCTGAGCGCCCCTGAGTTCAATCTCCAGTTAACCCGCCCAAAAAACCACAGCTCTAAAATCTAAACCAGTGGGCACCTGAAAGGCACCTACATGAAGAGACCGGAGGGATGACCCTGGGTTTCATCGCTAGGGACATCTGGACGCCCTGGAGCAGAGGCACAGGGCTGTGGCGGAAGAGAGCCGTGGCAACAGAGGACTGGGCGAGGCCTCGCCCCACATGCTGCTGCAGAGGGCGCCTCCAACGCCAGCTCACGGGCTGTTTCAGGCCATAACTTCACAACTGGACATTTTAAGCAGGATTTTCTGAAACGAATGACCACTAATTTGGGAGGAAAAACAATGTGTGTGCACACAGCCCTGTGTATGAAACTTTTGGAGTCACTGGCTGATTGACTATCCAAAAAACTTCTGTTTACACACATGCAAAAATCATTCTGTTTATAGTGACTGAAAGAGAAACCCAGACGTGACACTACGCCACCTGAGCAGCATATGCTCACCCTGATGGTCACATGCCTAAGGATAAACAGCAGTGGTGCACAGGAGGCACAGGTCCCCACAAAACCATATCGCACTTCTGTAAGGACGACCTAGGAGCCAAGGCTGAACAGAGCACACACTCGCTGCCCGGCGGGCACCCCGGCTCATCCTGCCATCAGCTGGGGCAGGCAGCCAGCCTCCCCACTCCACCAGGAGGGCCTGGAGAAGGGTGGGCAAGGCTGGAACAGAACCAGCCCTGGGCCCTGGCTCCAAGGCAGCGGGATGCCAGGCCAGGAAAGCACCCTACTCAGAGAGAACCCAGACTTGCACCCTCCCAACCGGGGATGAGCGGACAGACACATGTGGATGTATGGGCAGGCGTCACTGGTCATCACAACACTGGAAGTGCCTTTGTTTAAAAGTAAACGTGTGAGACAGACTGCTAAGGTGCCAACGGCTACAGAAATCGTTCCATTACCTTCTCTCCAGGTTTGGGTGATTGCTGCAACTTCTCATAATCTTTCTTAGTCTCCAAAATTTTTTTCACAAGTCCACCTGTTGAAAATCAGTGATTTTAGGTTAAAGATATTCTCTGTTCCAAGAAGCTATTTCCAAATGAGTGGGAGGGTAGGAAAAATACTAAATTCTATACTAAAAAGTTTCAAATAATCTATTTGATGAAGCTAGTCTATGAGAGAATGGTACAGCAGCTGGTATTGGAAATCAACTATAAAACTTTAAAGTCTAAGAAATCAGCTCYTAGAAAGGGGAAAAGTTTTGGAAATTAAATAGATTTTCTTTCTACTTCCAGAGTCAAGAAGTATTAGATTAACACCACAAAACATGACCATCTATTACAAACATAGCAATTCCAAATTATTTCTTAAGTACTGATACTGATATATATATATATATATATATATATATATATATATATATGGGCAAGAATACTACATTTCTTTTAGAATTACATACAGATGGGATATATATCATACAAAAAATCATTTTCTTGAAAATATTATTCTACTTGACACACATCATTATGGCACTGACTGAATACATCACACACACCTACATGGTGAAGACCACAAAGCTCCAAAGGGGGTTGAGGACTATTTCCTTATATTGCAATAGAAGGGATGCCAGCACAGACTCAGTTTAAACTATAGAAGCATGGAGGTGGAGACAGGTACTAATACACACACACACACACACACACACACACACACACACTTCTCCTTTTTTGAAAATGGAAGGATCCAGCTGGGTGTGGTGGCTCATTCCTGTAATCCCAGTGGCTTGGGAGGAGGAGACAGGAGGATCATGAGTTCAAAGCCAGCCTCAGCAGCGAGGCCCTAAGCAACTCAGGAAGACCCTGCCTTTAAATAAAATACAAAAAAGGGCCGGGGATGTGGTTCAGTGGTTAAGGGCCCCTGGGTTCAATCTCCAGGACCAAAACAAAAAAAGAAAAGGAAAGACGATGGAAGAATCCAGATTACAGGCCACGTGGCTGGGCGCTACAGTGTGTTTTAAAGCAAGACATGCAAAACAACAAACATCCCCCYGCCAGGGGCGGACCAAGCAGCTGGGATCTGCCTGCAGTCCCAGAGCCGGGGGAGGGTACACTGCCAAGGTCGGGGCCCAGGCCATGCCTGACCACTGGTGACCTCAACACTCAAGCCCACAAGCAGGTTAGCACCCCGGCAGGCCTTCAGTCTTTTTCTCTTCTCGGTTTCCCTGTATTGTCTTCCATGTCAGTTTACATGGTTTCCTGCTGTGCTTGTTATTTCATATTTTAAAATAATTTTAATATTTTTTACTAATTTTTTCCTCTTTCCTTCTCTCCTTTATATTCCACCCCTTTTATTGTTTGCTTTCTCTTCTGTTCCTATTCATTCCCCAACATTTTTTTTCATTTTTTCCTCTCTTGTCTTTTTCCTTCTATTTTTTTAATGTAGTTTACTGTTGATTTACTTCCCTATAATCTGACTTTTCAGCATATCATCACCCCCTTTCTTCTCCTCAGTTAATGGAGAGGCAGAGATCATATGCCCCACTGTATACTATCTCCAAGAAACACACCTCACAAGCRGAGGCAGCAACAGACTCTTAGGTGAAAGGGTGGAAGATGATCCTCCATGTCCATGGAGACCGACGGTGAGGTGGAGCCACGCTCATGTCCCAGTCAAAGCAGATCCCAAGCCCAAATCAGAAAGAACAAAGAAGGTCTTCACTACTCATAAAGGGAATAATCCAACCAGAAGATATAATAATTGTAAATACTTATGTTCTGGATGCTGGGTTCCAACATTTCATAAAACAAAAATTACTAGGTATAAAAGGACTAACCCCGATCCAGTATTAGTGGGAATTTCAATATGCCTCTCTAACTAATAGGTCATCCACACAGAAAAGCAACAAGAACACATCAGATTTAGACCTTATTTTACAGATAAGTTGAACTTAACAGACATCTACCGAACATGTTATCCCATGACAACTAAATGAACTTTATTTTCAACTGCTCGAAAATTGATCATATATTAGGCCCTAAAGCAAGTCTTAACTAATATAAAAAGGAAAGAAATTACATCTTGTATTTTTTCAAAAAATAATGGAACGAAATTAGAAATCAACAAAAAAACTACAAAGACTATACATACTTTGAACACTACAATCTTGAATGATGAGTGGGTCACTGAAGAAATTAAGGGGGAAATTTAAAAATACCTAGAATCAAACAAAGATGGAAACACATCAGAGCACCATCTCTGGATGCACAAAGCAGCACTAAGCGGGAAGTTTATAGCTACGAGTACTTCCATTTAAAAACAGGAATCTCAAACAACCTACTGATACATCCATGTCTTAGAAAAACACAAACAAACTGATCCTAGTTGTCCAGAAAGAAATAAGGGTTAGAGTATTATCAACTAAAAGAATACCAAGAATCAATGAACTGGCATAAATTGAAAAAATAAACAAGGTTAATAAACCTCTAGCCAAATTAACCAAGTCAGAGAAAACCCAGATTAATCACATTAGATGAAAATGGAAGAATTACAACACACACAACTGAAATTCAGAGAATCATTAGGAGATAGATATTTTGAAAAAATACATGCCAATAAATTGAAAAGGCTAGAAGAAATGGACAAATTTCTAAACACATATGCCCATACCAACACTGAACCAAGAAGAGAGAGAAAACCTAACAGACCAACTATAACAACTGAGGTTGGAACAGTAATAAAAAGCCTCCCAACAAAGAAGAATTCAGGAACTGGCCGATTCACAGTTGAGATGCTGAGAGCCACAGCCAAGTAGGAATGACGCATGGCAATTTCTTTGTCAGCCTACCCAATGTTGCTTAGAGGGAGGACTCTCCACTGTGGACATGGGCTTGCCTTGGACCCAGGTCATTTGCAGTGACATTGCATGAATGTTTGAGAAAGGTGACCCTGCTCAAGGACCAGGGCGGATCCGGGTTTAGGGCGGTTCCAGGTTTAGGGTGTGGATCCTGCTGGGTTTAGGGCGATCCAGGTTTAAGGCTATCCTGCTGCCTCAGGCGCCCACTCCTTGAGTTCCCTGTTGAGTTCTCACAGGATTCAGAGGGTATTTGGGATGCAGAGCCCGGTAGAGGTGTGGATTTTCCCAGAACGTGCATATAGAGTGCCAGTGGATTTTCCCCAGAACGTGCATGTAGAGTGCCGGTGAGAGTTCAGGAATAAAGAGTTGCTGTTTGAATCTACAAGGCTGTGAGTGGCTCGTGATTTTGTGCCCAGCCAGACTGGTGCATTGAATTTTATCAGAGCATTAAAGAAGAATTAATGCCAATACTCCTCAGATTATTCCATGAAGTTGAAACTCATTCTAACTTCCAAACTCATTCTACAAGGCTGTACCACCTTGATAGCAAAAACAGATAAATATACTTCAAGAAAAGAAAACTATAGACCAATATCATTGATGGAACATAGACACAAAAATCCTCAATAAAATATTAGCAGCAAATCAAATTCAACTACACACTAAAAAAGATTATTTACCTTGATCCAGTTGGTTTCATTCCAGTGATACAAGGGTGGTAACACACGGAAACCAATAAATGAATTAAACGAGATAAGTAGAAGCAAGGACAAAAATCATCTCAAAAGATGCAGAAAAGGCCTTAGGCAAAATCCAACACCTTTCATGATAAAAACCCTGAAGAAATTAGGGATAGGAGGCACTCACCTCAGTATCAAAAGATACCTGTCTACCTATCTCAGGTCCAAAGATAACATCATACTGAATGGGTAAAAATGGAAAAATGTTTCCACTAAGACGAGGAACAAGACACGATGTTCATTCTCAGCACTCCCATCAATACAATACTTGAAATTTTAGCCAGAGAAATTGAGCAAGAGAAAGAAATACAGATAGGAAAGGAAAAAGTCAAACTTTCCCTATTTGCAAATGATATGATCCTACACTTTGAAGACCGTAAAAGTCCTTCCAGAAAACTTTTCGAGCTGATAAATTTAATAAAGTAACAGGATACAAAATCAACATACAAAAATCAATATTCTATACACAAATAATGAATTCACTGAGAGAGAAGTCAGGAAATAATCCCATTCACAATGCATTCACAAAATGAAATACTTGAAAATAAACCTAACCAAGGAGGTGAAAGCTCTCTACAATGAAAATCATAGAACCCTAAAAAAGAAACTGAAGAAGCCTCTCAGAGATGAAAAGACCTCCCATGTTCATGGATAGGCAGAATTAACATTGCTAAAACAGCCATATTTCCAAAAGTGATCTACAGAGTCAATGCAATCCCATCAAAACACCAATGATGTACTACTCACTAGAACTAGAAAAAGCAATCCTAAAATTCACAGGGAAGATCAAAGACCAGAAGAGACACAGCAAAAAGAGCAAAGCTGGCGGCATCCCAATACCCAATTTTAGTAATACCTAAAACAGCACAGAACTGGCATAAAACCAGACACGCAGACTCGTGGAACAGGACAGAAGACAGTCCTCTCACTCTGCATAAAGGTGCCAAAACATTTCAGTGAAATGCTCAGCCTCTTCAACACATGGTGCTGGGAAGACTGCATGGCCACCTTTCACCCTTACAAAAGTGAACACAAGGTGGATCAAAGACCTAACTGTAAGATCAGAAATATTGCAAATATTAAGAGAAAAAAATAGAGCAAACATTTCAACACAGAAGCATAGGCAAAGACTTCCTGAAGAAGACCTCCAAGTTCAGGAAACACAGAGAATTGATAAATGGATGGCATCAAATTAAAAAGCTTCAATATGGAGGTTCCTTGAAAAGCTACAGATGGGTCATATGATCCAGCTGTACCACTCCTTGGTAAATGTCCGACAGAATTCAAGTCAGCTTATCTTAGAGATACATGCATACCTGTGTTCACTGCAGCATGGTTCACAATAGCCACATTATGGAATCAGCCTAGTTGCTGTCAACAGATAAATGAACAGAGAAAATGTGCAGGTATGTGTACATATTACATACACACACAGTGGAATTTTATTCAGCCATAAAGAAGAATGAAATTATGTCATTTGCAGGAATATAGACGAAACTAGAAAACATAATTTTGAACAAAACAAATCAGACTCATAGAAAAAAGTATTAGATCTTTTCTTTCAAATGTAGAAGAAGTAAAAAACAAGAAAACAGGGGGATTTCCTGAAATTAGAAGGAAGACCAGTAGGAGAGAGAAGGCGACCAGAAAGAGGGAGGGAGGTGGGTCGGGAGGTACTAGGGAGGGAAACCGATCAACTGCATTTTCATCAATGCACAGTAAAATGTGCCGTTCTGTATGATTAATATACACCCAAAAATAATACTAATAATGGAAGATGATGATATTAAGGGAACTAAGTGGGTAGTACACAGGAATTTTCTGTAATATCTTTGCAACTTTTTTGTTGATCTAAAATGATTCCAAATAAAAGGTTAAATAAGAAAAAGAGTAACTGGGGCTGGGGATCAGAGGCAGAGCACTTGCCTAGCACATGTGAGGCACTGGGTTTGATCCTTAGCACCGCATAAAAATAAAGACATTATGTCCATGACTACAAAAAAATTTTAAATAAAAATAAAAACCCTGTTCCCTACAGGGTGAGGGAGAATACTGGGTAAAAGAGACAGGGGTCCAAGCCCCACACCTTTAAATAAATATACCTGGTTTGGGACACTTGGCCTTAAAGCTATGTGAAAATTCTATGTGAAGAGAAAAACAAAATTATAAATATTAATGCAAAACAATGAAAGAAAAATAAGAATGTCAAATTAGTAAGTATATGCTCATTATTTCCTAACTTTAAAACAGTTATGAATCTGTTCTCATACTTCCCTAATGGGATATACCTTAAGAACTTGCTGTGCGTGCACACTGTGGGAGCACGCACGGCTGGTGCTGCTGGCAGCCGTGATCTAGGGCAGCAAATGGAAGAGGTGCCTGAGCAAAATCAAAGCTCACAGGCAGAACCTTCAGTCCTAAAGCTCAACTGGAAGCATCAGCAGGAACTCAGGATGTATTTTCTCATGCAGAACTGTAAGTCCCTCCTTTGTGCAAGGAAAACACGCAGAACCCAGACTATGCCAGAAGCAACAAGCAGCCAGCCAGGCTCTTAGAGAAGGAGCAGCTGCAGGGGGAAACACAGGTGGCCTGAACACCTCGTCGCAGCCAAAGAAGCGTGAAGTCCCTGGGCTGTGCTGAAAGGCCTCCAGAAGGCAGCTCCTCCAGGCTGGCCCGCCTCTTCTGTGGGGGCTGCAACTCTGGGTAAGCAAAGCCAGGGATGGGGAAGGAGGCTGAAGTGCCATCGTCACTGCCCTGCAACCCTAATGAGAAGCAGCTGTGGCTGCATGACCAGCAGAGCACCAGCCAGACACGGCTGAGATCTAAGACCACCCACGACACTCTGACCAAACAGCCTGAATCCACTGGGTCCTCTAGGACAGGTGTCAGGGCACGAAGAGGAAGAACGTGGCAAAACACACCACAGTGGCCCAGCCAACCATGCCGAATGGTGTCACACTCTAGAGGACAACCAGGCCAGCTGCACCACCACACGCGTGTCCGGGGAGGGCTGCAGGCTTGGAGCAGGCGACTGCAGTGCAGGGTGTGATGTGCACCCTGACTCCAACCAACCAACCAGAAAGCTATGCACCAAGCTGGATACTTGGCAACATCAAGGGATCCCTGTTAAGTTCTTCTATATAAGATAATGGGAATTTGTTCATTTGTTTTTTTAAAGAGTCTTCAACTTCTCAAGACACATACACAACATAGGTACAGAGGAAACACCTTCTCTGGATCTCAAAACAGCCAGGAGCAGGTCACGGCAGGCTGAGCCGGCGGCAGCTGAGAGGGTAGGCACAGGGCCTACGCTATGACTACTCCTCCCACTTGTCTAAGGGTCTGACATGAGGAGGAGCGTGCTTGGGAGGAGAACAAGACTGCTTCAGAGCCGCAGGCGTGGAGGGACCTTCGGCTCCAACCCCACAGGTAAGAGAACTGACAAGAAAAGGTCACTGGCACAGAAGCCGCAGCTCCTCCAGCTCCACCTCCTGGGGTGGACCGTCAGCCAGCTGTGCCCTAATGTAGCTGAGCAGAACCACAGCCAGCGGCCCCCCACAACGGCCACTCACGGCTGACCCTTCCAATGCACACACARAGGGGGTGCTCACATGTGCACACCAACACACCAACGGAGGGGTGCATACATGCACGCACAAACATGCGAACACATGCGTGTGGACATGCCAACATACAAGAAGGAACAGACACAAACACACCAACAAACAGGAAACACACATACACAGGAACACACCAACAAAGACGGGGGTGCATGCATGTACAATGGAACACACCAAGGTGGGGTACACGTGCATACAGGCAAATACACCAACACACAGAGGGGAAGCATATGTGTACATGGGAATACAACAGCCCACAGGGGCACAAGAACATACATACAAACACACCAACACCCAGGGAGCATGTTAATATGAACATGCCAACACAGAGAGAGGAGAACACACACACACCAATATGCCAAAAGAGGGGGCACACAACGTGCAAGAAAACACAAAAAGGGGGCATGCCCACACACACGCCAAAACAAACAGCACATGCATACATGAGAACACACAAAACACAGGAATGCACACACATACACATCAACATATCAACACGTGTCAGACATGTGCATGCGAGCACACCAAAAGAAGGGAACATGCACACAAACATGTCAAAACACAGGGGGCACACAGTACATGTGAACACGCCAACACACAGGTTGCATACACAGTTACTCTAACACAGGCAGGGAGTACCATCCTATACACAAAATCACCAACACACATGGGACACAGGCACATACACTCAAGCATTCCTATACACAGAGCTGCACACATGAAACATGTAAATACACCAACATGCAAGGGGTGCATGAACGTACATAACAAACCAACAGGGTGGACACGTACAGGTGGTAACATGCCAACACTCTGGGCACACACCTGTACACATGAACACATCACCACAGAGGAGGCCCACACATGAAAAACCATCACACACAGAGGGTGCACATACGCACACCCAAACATGCCAACGCACACAGGGTGGCCCACACACCTACCCGTGAAAATACCAACACATGAGGGCACACCCATGTAAACAGGAACATAAACACCCATGGGGCACATGCATACATGCAAAAATCACAAGAGGATGTCCAAACACACCAAAACACAGAAGGGTACATGCATGACACAGGTACAAGCCAATACATTCACAGGGGAGTGCCAACACATGGAACACATACATGTACACAAGAACAGGACTACACACTTACAGGCACACATGCCTGGGAACACTGTAACCACCTGAGGTACACGTTCAGGTCCATGCCAACACAAATGGGGCACACGCATGTACGTGCAAATGTGCCGACAGAACACCTACATGCAAACACACCAACACCGGGCCCCTGGCTCGCACACTCTGACGGGTCACACTGCGGGGGCACACTCGCGCCCAACATCAGGACTCACCGTGCTTCTCGCTGTCCTCCAGCTCCAGCGCTGGCACCTAAGCAAGAAAGGAACCAAGAAAAAAGAAGATGCAGGGAGCTGAATTCTCAGAAATGACACTTGTGAACTCAAAAAAGGAAGGATCAAATTAAAGAAAGTAGAAAAGTAACCAAAAAATTGGAAAATTCTGTTTACGTAAGTCTAAAAGCTGGAGCACTGACGTGATGTTTGTGTGTAGTTACTAGAAACACCACCCTTTGTGAACTGACCGTTTCAATTTCGGACATTTCGGAGATCTGAGGGGCAGCCTCCACCACAAACTGATCATCATCTTCATTGTCTGAATTCTGTGAATCTATAATCACATTTGAGACGGTTTTACCACTCCCTGTCCTAAATAAGAAGAAACAAGATTACATCAGCAATGGCCCATCAGTACCAGGTTTTCCCCAACCCTGTGCAAGAGGTTACCTAAGAGGAAGTTCACCACCACCCCCCAGCCCCAGGGCCTGGCCGAATGGGCACGCCTCCCACCACGCCCCCTCCCTGCTGCACAGAGCTCCAGGCCACAGTCAGCCTCCCTCTACCCGCAAAGACCCGTGGCTTCTGCCTCCCCCATGTGTGCCCTACCCAGCGCTTCAGCCTCTGCCCCCTACCTGGAAGGCCTGTTCTCCAGGCACAAACCTCAGGCAGGGGTGGCATGGGCAGCCCCAAGGCCACAGCTGCCCCAGACCTGCCCTCTGCACAAAGCAGCTGCTCGGCGCCCCTCCTGTGGCACCCAGGCCCTGCTTGCCCGTGTCCCCACCATGGCCTGTATCCCTGCCCAGCACCCACTACACCCTTCCTGTCCACCCAAGTCCTGCCCTTGTTACGAGTCGGCCAACACCCCAGAGCCTGGCCCACCACCCTGGCCTCCCAGGTGACCACCCGCTCTCACCCAGGTTCCCTCTGCGGAGGCCCTGGTCGCCTGCAGCTGGGCCATCAGCCCCTGACTTCAGCCCTCCCCAGGTGACTGCCCAGCATGCTCCAGAGCATCCAGTTGCCACCACTCCAGGGGATGTGTGTGCGCATTCTCGCACACACACCATCCTCCGCTGCTCTCGCAGAGAAGCGCCTGGAAACAGGTCTCCACGAGCTGCCTCCTCGCCCTGCCTGGGTTCCACCTGAAACCCACCCTGACAGAGCCCGCCTGCGGTCTCTGCAGGACTTACGACTTCTGGACAACTGTGTGGCCTTTGGCAATTAAGCCTTTAACCCCTTCCACCCTATTTCACCCTCACTGTTTTCACGCTCACGTCTTCCATCTAGAGACCACAGACTCGTAGCCCAACATGTCTCCTGAACCTCAAGAAGTGACCACACGCAGACACGTGTCTCTCCTCCTCATCACCTGCCACGCACACTGCTTTGCAGCCTGAGGCAAGGGCCCAGCCTCGCTTTTCTCTTCCACTGCTCACCTGCCCATCTCTTGCCCAGCCCCAAYGCCCGTCCAACCCACAGCACACACACACAGTGGAGCGGATGGCCAACCTGGGCAACGGGCCACCCAGCCAACTCGCCTTACCTGTCCGTCACCAAGGTCTCCACGCTCTCTTGCCGTTTGACCCGGGGAGGCGCCGGTCTAGCACTGCCAGGTCGAGGTATTCTTCTAAACCCACCCAAACAATGGAAAATCAAAAGGACACAAAACGATGAACATTTCACACCGGACAAAAGAAAACTCACACTCAGGTCAAGGCTAACTCCCATTCCACCTCAACATGCTAGTCAGGAGAGTGACAACACCCATTCACGTCACCCAGCTACCGACAGTCGGTACTCAGCCACAGGCGGCAGTCTCCCCAAACCCACTCTGCACTACGTGCAGTTACACAGCTCAGGAACAGAAAAACCACAGAAGCGTGTTGGCTGCCTTCAATGCACACGATTCCACCTACTTCAGCTCAAGCCTGAGGAGCCGGCAGAGCGCCACAGCAGGCCCCTAGCGGGCACTCCTCTCTGGCAGCAGAAAGCACACACCTGACATTGGAGGACAGCTCGCTGGGGGCTTCTGGATTCTCGCACACCTCGGATTTATCTTGGCCAGTAGCTCCAGTGTCTCCTTCTAAACAGGTACAATCCAGCCAGCAATTCAGAGAAAGAAACACAAAGAACAAGTGATATTTAATTCAAGATTAATTAAAATATATTTAATTCGAATATAAATATTAACTCAAACATAAGTATTTGAAAAGGCAGCAAACAATTCCACGTATAAATGAACTATTTTCTCATCCATCATTTTAATGAAGATAAGACAGACATGATATCTAAATTTAGTGAAGATTTGGGGAAATGATGTACTGAAACTCTGGAACAAACTGGTTCAGCTACTCAAGAAATAAAACTCAAAATATAGGTACAATTTAACTTAAAGGAAATACAAACTAAGAAAAGCAATGGCCAGGCATAGATGTACATCTGTCCAGATGCACACCCCTGTCAACGGGATGGCTCGGTGACTAAGTCCATCATGTTACCATCACGTGCTAGGCCCTTTGGTGCGAAACCACATTATCATGTTAACGTATGATGAATAACAGCACTTCAATAGCCTAGTGATCATGTCTACACTTACACAGTCCCAGAGGAGATTACAAGCAATGGAATTACCAGTGCTTTTTATTTTCACACTCAGCTTTTTCTTCATTTTTAAATTTTCTACTTTTGGTTATGTACCACAGTATTTTTATAATCTGAATAAGTTTTCTTCACATTAGTTAAAAAAGATTTAATCAGCAAGTTACAAGCCAAACTACTAAGACAAATTTACTCCATTATTGAAAGAAATTTACACTTTAAAAAGTAGTAAAAACATCAAAATCTGAAAATTGGGAATGTACTATGTACTCTGAGGAAAGAAACGTCCTGAAATGTATTCTTTTCAGGTGACTCACACACATGGATTCCCACTGCCTATCACACCTTCAGCTGGTGCTACAGTTGGGACCTGGACGCTCCCCCAGGCCCACGTGTTGAGGACATGCACAGTTGGGCGTTGGTGAAAACTCCGAGGACCTCCCATCACTGGGGACATGTCCTTGAAGGGGACCCTGGTCCCCTCTTTTTGCTCCTGGGCCACGAGGTGAGCAGCTTTGACCCCCATGAGTTCCTGCTGTAACATGCTACCTTGCAACAGGCCCAAAGCAACAAGCCAATTCGTCTTGGACTGACATCTCCGACACCATGATCCAAAGTAAACCTTTTCTCTCCATAAGTTGATTATCATCTTAGGTATTCGTCAGCGTAACAGAAAGGTGACAAACAAAATTGATAACTAAGATATATTTCCTCAAAATAAATTACTTTTACTAGTGCAGTATGTAAAGCAGATTTGAAGTGTCTTTTACTTACACACAGACACAATACACCAAGTATACTTAAAGCCATTCTCACCTGCATCACTGATGGAGTCACCTAAAAAAAAGCACAAGAAAAAATAAATTTTCGTGTTAGTCAACCTCAATGCATCAAGTGGCCTGAACAGAATCCGAGGAAACACGTCCTGAGTTTGAACATCTATTGGGAAAGAGGCCATTTCCTCGCAGCCCTTCCTAGTGCCCCGGCTGCCGTCTCCTGCCATTTTTGACTGTGAATCATAAAATGCACTCCCATGAAAGCAGGAAGCAGGGATGTGAAGAGTGTATCACAGACAGAAACGAGGTAAAGCCCTACAGCCAGGAGGCCCTGGGAAGTGCCACCAGACAGCTCAGGCGGGTGCCAAGACGCTACACAGAACCAGGTGAGCTTGGCCATGCACCAGCTCCCTGAGGCCATCTCCCAGCCACACTCCTGCACTGTCCCAGGGTCCCTTCTCAAGTGCTACACCTAGGGACACATGTGGCCCAAGCAGTCACAGGCAAGCAGCAGTGCCACAGGGCAGGGCAGGAGTGGATTCAAAGCTGAGATGAATCATCTTTTCATGACACTTTTTAAATACACAAACACACGTATGGAAGAGCCGACACCAGGTGTATTTCCACGGTGGCCCGGACATCAGGTGAGGCAGAGTGACCAGCAATCATCAGCACCCAACCTCTAGCCAGGCCTAGTCCCACCCAGGCATGCAGAGATCAGACCCACTCGCAGAGTGAAAGTGCTCCCGGGACACCTCGGGTCCACCTCCCCCAGGACTTCCTGTGAACACTACAGCCTGAGAGCCCTCCAGGGGGTAGCTCTGGGCAGGGCAGCCAGCTCGGAGAGCAGCAGGCTTTCTATTCAGGGATCATCTATGGCAGCCCCGAGTCATGAATGCTGCCACTTGCCCTCACACAGGATGCCGCCTGTTACCAGCAGTGGCCTCTGTCACTCATGGGAAGAGCCCCAGGGCAAACCCTACCCAGCTGCACCCATGGGAGCAGGCATAGTGCCCGGCAGTGGCCAACCCTGGGGCAGTCTCCTCCCACCAGCAAGGTGCACGCTGGCCGTTCTTACCTTTCTGCTTTACTGCTGGGTCGGGCTCAACGCTCTCACGCCACAGAGTAGTGGAGTTATCATCTGAAACACTAGTTGASTTAGTAATGGTTTCTTTGGTTCCTGACATAAAACAGTTTAAAATCGGTCACTCAGACTGTACCCTGAAGGGCTGGTGATCAGTGGCATCCCAAGCCCTCTGGGTTAGGGCTAACCAGAGCTCACACACCCACCTTTCCCCATGCTGCAAGTTGACCAAACTGACAAAAGCAGCTTTGAAAACACATCTAGAATGTTCCTCCTGCACTGTGGCTCTGGGATTGGGCACCAGACTGTGAGCAGGCCCCTCCCAGCCCACTGACCCAGGAGGGACTCTTGGGCCTCCCTGGGCAAAGCAGCCCGCATCCACCTCCACTTCTAGAATTCTAGAACCAGTCGGACCCACAGAACCACTTGGTTCTGCTGGCTCCTACCATAGTCAGGCCCAGGAGCCGGCTGTTCCAGGAAAGCAGGAGGAAAAGAAAGGTATCCTGACACATGTACTCTCCTAGACATACTGAGAATCACAAAACAGGGTCTCATCACTGTGCTCTGAAGTCTTGAAAATAGAAAAGAAATGGAATACCTGAGAAATAAAATAAAATATTTCCCTATTAAAAACAAAAAGAGCACAGGAGGTGCTGGAGGAAGAGGTTTTGAATTATGGCAGGACCCAGAGCTGAAAAACCGACCCATGGTCCAAGACACACCACTGTCTAAATAAAGATGAAACTGGAAAAACATCCCCCAAACCCAATCCTAGATGTCTTAAAACCATTTAAAGAAATAGCTTACATCAGAATCAACCCATCATTAACTAGCAAATAACTGCTTTATTTAGGTAATAGAATTACATTAAATTGATGGTATTTTCAAAATATTTTTTTTAGTTGTAGATAGACCCAATATCTTCACTTTTAAAAAAAAATTATTTGTATGTGGTATTAAGGATGGAACCCAGTGTCTCACTCAAGCTAGGCAAGTGCCGGACCACTGAGCCACCACCCCAGCCACATGACATACAGTTTTGTAAGGAAATCTCTGTAAAAATTATGTTGATTTAAACAGTCTAACATCTAATTACTTATGATGTTTCCTAAAGGGTCGCCAAAGAATGAATATAAAATATTAAGATCTAAAAATAAATATGTTTGGCAGTTGTAGATTTGTCAATTTTAGAATGAAGCACTCTAATAAATTAAGTTGTCATATTTTAGTTAAAAGTGTCAAAGATGTTCTATTTATTTACTTATTTATTTGCAGTACTGGGGATTAAGCTCAGGGGCACTCTACCCCTGAGTCACACACACTCAACACTTTATTTTTTTACGTTGAGACAGGCCCTCACTAAGTTGCTGAGGCTGGCCTTGAACATGCGACCTTCCTGCCCCAGCTCCCCAAGTTGCTGAGGTGTGTACAACTGGGCGCAGCAAAGATTCTCTGAATTCTATAGAACCCAGGATCGTAGCAGGTAGATGCAAATGCACTGTCTTCTGTCTGGAGTTCAAGGAGATGAATTTATCTTTTCCAAGTTCTAGTGAATTCTTAAATAAGCTTTACTAAACCCCAAGTTCCCACAAACACAAAGGACATACAAATAGGCTATATATTCACTAAAAACACTACAATCAATTTTTACTCACAAAGGGCAAATCAACCAGTTTATTGAATAATACTTTTAAAAGACTAAAATAATGCACTTATTAAGAAATCAAAGTTACTGTGCAGGGTGAAACAATCATTGCCTCAGCACAATCTGCTATCTGGAACTATCTGGTAAGCAAGAAATGCCACAGGGAAGGACAGGGCCTTGGCACCAGGCTTCCCAAGTTCAGACCCTGGGGCTGCCACTGGACACAGACCTGAGTTGCAGTCCATCAGGTCCTGCGACCGAAACCAGCCGCTGGATGGCTGCCCACAGAGCCGCTGCAGGCAGTCCCGACAGTCAGAGACTGCAGCCTCGTCAATTGGCTACTAAATGTCCTCACAGAACCAGGGGTTTTTAAACATGGAAACCATTTTGGAATAAAAATAGTTACTATTGGGAAATTATGATTCTGTTCAGTGAGGTAAGAATTCTGTGGCTATGTAGACCATCTCATTTTATTTTTTGAGCTGCATGCTGAAGTATTTAAAAATATATTATTAGGATGTTGCAATATGCCTTGAACTCATTCATAAAAATATAGAGCTAAAGTGAAGTATAATGTTGGAACCACTCAGCCTGGGTGAGTGCCTGAGTGTAAATTGCACTATTCTTTCTACTTTCTTGTATTTTTCATGATAAAAAAACTGGGGATGTAGGTCAGTGATACAGTGCTCACCTAGCATGCATGTGCGAGGCCTTGTGTTCAATCCTCAGCACCACATAAAAATATATAAACTAAATAAAGGTGTTGTATCCAACTACATCTAAAAAATAAATATATTTAAAAAAAAAAAAAAACTTAAACCATGCAATGAAGAGGAAAGAGGGCAGGAAGACCACAAGTTCAAAGCTAGCCTCAGCAAAAGCGAGGCGCTAAGCAACTCAGTGAGACCCTGTCTCTAAATAAAGTACAAAATAGGGCTGGGAGTGTGGCTCAGTGGTCCAGTGCCCCTGAGTTCAATTCGTGGTACCAAAAAAAAAAAAGGGGGAAATGAGACAAACTAAGCAAAAGAAAGGTACAGTTTACAGTCCAGAGAACTTGGAATTGTCATAGGTTAAGAAAAGGCACAGCCTACAGCTGGCATTACAACTTGGAGAGCAGGAAGAAACCATTCACACTTTAAAAGGGAACAGTTGAGTGCCTTTTTTAACTCTTCATCCAAAATGCAAAATGCTAAAAACAAGACCCACAAGTTCTCTTCCGACAACCTGAGAGCAGGGTCATCGGGCCTGGCAGGCCCCAGCACAGGCCCAGAGTCTTGGCGTCTGAGCTGCATCAGCACACCACAGCGGTCTGCACCTGTTTTTCCCTTTTTGGCCCTGGGGATCGAACCCAGCGTGCTCTACCCCTAAGTGACATCCCCCACCCCACTGTTGTTTGTTTGTTTTCTTTTTTGAGAAAAGGTGTCACTAAGTTGCCCAGATTGGCCTTGAACTTGCAATCCTCCTAACTCAGCCTCCTGAGTTGCCGGGATTACAGGTGTGGCCAGCACTCTGGCCAACACAGCCGCTTTCCTTTCCTCTGAAGTACTTAGGAATGAGAGGTAGCGGTGAGGAAAGGCCTATTCCCCAGACCAGGGCAGGGAGCCTGGGAACCATGCTCAGCTCTAGAAACAACTGCTTGCAGCCTCTGAGTTCCAGGAGTTCCCAACAGCACCCACAGAGCAGCAGGGTGACCGTGAAGGCACCCCAGCCCAAAGTGAAGGGTGGGGGAGGAAAAAGAGGGACCAGGGCCTCTCCCAGGGAGCACATGTAAGCAGGGCTCTGTTCCCCGCTGGACAACCAAGCTTCATTCTCACCCACAAAACACCCCACTGAGAAACAAGGTTTGCAGTGTGCACCTCTTCACGCCCCAGGTTACACTATTTTCACACTTGTAAATAAAATCCATGAAATGCCCAATACACGCCTGGTATTCAACCTGTGTTAAAGTCTACAAGCTCTGATTCAGCCTGATCTGGGGCTGTCTGTTCAGCTAGTGACCTGTCACACAGCACGCCTGTCACTCAGCTGCTGTCCAGACACCAGCCCGCTCAAACTCAAGGCGAGCATTTGTACAACCATTTGCGATGAGCACACTGTGGTTCGGAGGACCCATCCGTGCATGTGCTCCAGGCCAGGAGGTAGTGAGTGGGAAAGGTGTGAACATGGTGTCCCCAGCTACACTGACACAGGTCACTCCGTGGCCTACCAATTGCCATTCCTCCAAGCCTTCACCACTGCCCTCACCCTCTCCTGCAGCACAGGACACCTGGCCAGCTCCCCCACAGGAGCCTGGAGACGAAAAAAGGTCCCTTAAAAATAAGATCCAGTACAAGATGGGGCTGAACTGAGATGCACAGGTGCACAGTGGAGTAAGAACTCACCCGACGGCCCAGCCCCCTCACTGCTCCAGGCCTACAGCTGCCTGCTTGGAACAGTGACCCAGCACGGCCTCCTCCAGGCTTCCGCACCACGCCTGCCACACCAAGGCGTCAGTCACTCACAGCACCCCTCCCAGCGAGGGAAGTCCTCGAAGACACCACTCAGAGAAGGCCCCCCACCATTCTAGCCACGTTTCCAGAATCTTAAAAATGCAGATGGAAACAAAAACTTTTATCTTCTCCTAGAAGAAATCTACACTATTTTTTTTCTTGAATACAACTCAAAAATTCTAATATTTCTGAAGAATTTGGTCTCGGGACACAGAAGACTGACGGGACTGAGATTTCATTGAGGACTGCCCACCCACGCGCAGCGGCACACCATCAGTGCTGGCTGTGAACGGGCAAGCGCAGTGTGTTGCAGACGTGCTGCCTAAAATCTTTATTGTGGAGAAATTCTAGCAGCACAGTAGGCTAAAGATTAAAAAAAAAATTCCAATAGCAAAATTAAGAATGCACTTTGACAAAAAAAATAGAAGTTAAATATAAAATTCATGTAAAGATTAACTTAAAGCTGTCACAATGGAGCAAAATTAAAGAAAATAAAACATCAAGTCATTTCTGATCTTCAGCACAATGTTAAAAAAATCTGACTAACACTGGAGTGGTAAGAATAATACAAAAAAACTTAGAACTACACCAAGATGTCGCAACTGTACATCCAGGTGTTGAGGAACTTAAACTACAGAATACCTTTTTCTTACCTATTTCTGAAGCTGTAGTTTCCTGATCTGGTTCGTCATTTAATCCAGACGTTATGGGGTCTAAACTTTTACCTGAAATATTATCCTCCTTCCTTCCTGACATAAAATAGTTAACAACAAATTAACATATTACAAAGGTTTCAGTATCTGCTTGCTTTAGTTGGGATTTACAGGGGTCTGGGTCAGGGCCACCAACACACCACCATGTCCTCTCAGTGGTCCACTCTCAGCCTCCACTCGGTTCCCACAGACTGGACAGAAGTCCCCTCCCCTTCCTGAGACGCCTTCCCCACATCCAGGACAGCCTCTCCTAACAGCAGCCCTGTCCTCTGCCCCCTGCCCTGGAGTCCCGTCCCCCACAGAGCTCAACACACCCTGTTCCCCCAAAGCCACGGCTGTAAACATCATCATGGCCAGAACCTCAGGTTGGGTCACCTCCAACCTCTGCAACTCTCCCTGATCACAGGTCTCACATCCCACCGTCTTCGACGACCTCCGCGGGCGCAGTCAGACCTGTGTTCTGGTACAGCCACCCACACAGCAGCCTGCCATTTCAGCAAGCTGCACTGCGCAGGTGCCCAGAACCCCCCAAAGCGGTCTTCTCTCGGATTCCTCTCATTGAAACATGTGGTACCCCGTCCATGGGCACAGCCGTCGTCCTCTCTCCTGCCCCTCACACGCTATCACCACCGACACCTGGTCCAAGCCAACACACTCCCCATCCAGTCGCCACGAGCTCCTGGCTGTCCCAGGCCTCTACTCCTGCCTCTGATCTTACAAGGAGGACCTTTAAAACACACACCCTGACTCTGTCCTGTCTGTCCTGCTCAAAGCCCTCCAGGTCTTCCAGCCACCAGCCACCTGTAGACACAGGGCAGAGGCCCCAGGCCCCTGCTGGGGCAGCCCCTCCCCCAACACTGCCCCTCCTTCCTCTCCAGCTCCACAGCTGGGCTTCCTGCCCGGCATGCAGCAAGTCCAACCAGCTCAGGTATCTACTCAGGGCCCGTGGACACCTGCAGGTCCTCCTCCCCAGCGAGTCACCTGTCCAGATGTCCCCAGACAGAGGCCCTCCCTGCCTTGCCTTCCTCCCTGCTTTTCCTGGCTTCCTTTTTCACTAAAAATCCTCATCACTAATCAACATGAATACAGGCACCCTCTCAGCTCCTCATGAGTATAAATGTCTTCCAAATAAAGAAAGGAAGGCTTCACTGGATGATTTCAGTCCCAAGCAGACTTAGGGTAGCACACCCTTGGCTGCTGAGAACAGCCCTGTGGCCCAGGAGCAGCTGTCCTCCTGCCCTCCTCCACTCTGGCCAGGCCCACGTGACCCTCTGTGAGGCTCCCCTGCTCTGTGATGGCGCTGAGGCACAGAATCAGGTGGCGAACAACTGCCCCAGGCAGACTCGCGCTCTCAGTTCCACTGTGGCTTAGTCTTACCGAGCTGTTTCCCAGCATGCTCCTTCTTAGCTTTAGTGTAGGAAGAGTTACGTTCTTTTTCTGGGGAAAGACTGTGTTCACTGGTTCTAGAGTCCCTTCTTCCTGACATGAAATTGCACAACGAAAATATGTATTACACTTCACTTGTAATGCTGCATAGTTACCAAATGAATGAAACCAAACACTAATTCCAAGTTATGATTCCCTTTAGAACACACTCCTCATGAATTAGCAAAAATTATCCTACTCTTCTGTGGACTGGCCTTGGGTTCTGTAGGCTAGTACGGCTGTCCACATTCATCCTATGAACATGTGCCATACTCTAGTAGATGCAGGGCACAGAGGTCCCATGCCTTGAGCACCCCCGGGTCCAGGTGTTTGCCCAGGTACCAACCCACCCAAGCAAGGCCAAAGGTTTGGGCCGAGCACCAGCTCAGCTGGTCAGTGCCTGGCCAGCCAGCAGCAAAAACAGGAGCCCCTGAACTGCTGACCGCTGAGAAACTCACTGCCGTCAAGGGTGCAGTCTCCAATAGAAAACTCTTGAAGAGCACCCAGAAAGAAAGAGCCCACAGCAGAAGGTGGCCGTACACACAGACGAAGGAACACGCTGCGTGTCAGAGATGGAGATGCCTCAGCTGTGAGCTCGGGAAACCCGAAGAAGAAACCAAGATCCCTTGGATCAGGATGAGTAGCAAGGCCAGAGTGCAGACAGTGAGAGCAGTCAGTGAAACCCACAAGCCACTAACAACAAGGGGGAAAGACAGCATCTCCAAACAAGAAAACAGACACGACTCAGCCACCACCTGGACAGACCCTGCAGACTACAGCTGGAGGCAGCCACCCTCTGAGAAGTGGCCGGCCGCTCCCTTTGCAGGAGGCTCTTGAGTCATGTGGCAATTTTAAAATTCATCTGAACAGATAAGCAAGTAAAATGGCTTAAAACTTTTCTGAAAAGAACACTGACAGGAAACAGTAGTAAAACAGAGACCAGTGAAAGTGGAAAGCGAACAAGATCCCAGACCTTGACGGGTGCAACTAAGCCATCAGGCAGAAGGGTACCCTTAATTGGCAAGTGATCCTGGCACAGCAGGCAAAGAATTCTAAAAAAATAAGTCAGCGCCTTGGTATATGCCAGGAATGAAAGTAAGAGATGAATACGAAGACTCAATATTAAAATGTATGCTAAAACACAAATTTTCAAGTCACAAATCTTTACACAAATTACCAAAAGCTTCAAGCACATAAAAATTAAGCACTCAGGCAAATCCAAAACCAAACTGAACATAATTAGTAAAAATGAAGCGCAAAAATATAAAAAACACACTTATTTAAAAATTGGCTGAGGTCCTTAACATACAAAGAGTTCACACAAAATAACAAGAACTCTTTGCATCTCCAGACAGTCAATGAGGAATCAGGAAAGAACAGACAAATCCAAGACCCCAATCAAAACTAGGGACACACATGAAAAAATGCAATCTCACTAGGAATTAAACTTCCCAATTTTTTGTCTATCAAAATCAGAAAGCTGGGCTGGGGTTGTGGCTCAAGCGGTAGCGCGCTCGCCTGGCATGCGTGCGACCCGGGGTTCGATTCCTAGAAGCACATATAAATAAATAAAATAATATCTATCAATAACTAAAAATATATTTTAAAAAAAATCAGAAAGCCTTGCCGGGCGCAGTGGCACACACCTGTAATCTCAATGGCTTGGGAAGCTGAGACAGGAGGACCGCAAGTTCAAAGCCAGCCTCAGGAAAAGCAAAGCGCTAAGCAACTCAGTGAGACCCTGTCTCTAAATAAAATACAAAACAGGGCTGGGATGTGGCTCAGTGGTCGAGTGCCAGTACCCACCAAAAATTCAGCCTTTAAAACACTGGAGGGTGGGCAGAGGGCATCTGTAGAGGAGCCCCGTGCCAGCGCTCACTCCTCTGGGCTGGGACAGGGCACCACCGAGAGGACGTCCCTAGAGCATCACTCACTGACTGTTGGGAAGGGACAGATCTTAGGTAAGTTCACTTCTGGATAATTCCAACTACCACGCTGTCCCACCCTAACCTACAGGATTCGGGAAAGCGTGGAGTTTCAGAAACCTCTTCTGCTCTTCAGAGCCTCCAGCAAGAGCGGCTCTGGCCAGCACAGCCCTGCGTTCCCTGCCTCTCTGGTCCTGTTGCTGGTGTGTCACAGTAACGGTCCATTTTCAGCCAAACCCCAGGCCAGACCTGTGAGCGTAGCTTTCTGCATGAGTCCAGTGCTCACTCCTGCTATTTTTAACCACAGGCACGTGCGTCATCTGCCTGGGTGCTCTTCATGCCCAATGGGAAAGACAAGAGCCCTGCGGCCCGACGACCAACACACATCTGGAAAACGAAAATCCAATCACCCCTTTTAAGTTCCAGCACAGGTCTGCAGCAAAAGGGGCGGCTTTGCCCTGAGTGGTGTGAGTTCACACAAGTGTGTACACGTGCCTTCTCCCCACTGTTTGTTTCCAGGCACCGCAGACCTGTGACCAGCCACGAGTCTGCTACCAGAGAGTGGGACAGAGGCAACAGAGCTAAGACCCACATCTGAGCCACAGTCGGCTCGGCAGTACCTTCCACTGAAGTCTTGGATCGTCGTTTTGATGTTTTTGATGTCAATGACCGGGACGCTGTGGTGGAAATCTCAGCCTTAGAGAGAAGAAAAGACAAAAATCAATGGCAGCTTCACACAGCAATAGCACCAGACTCACTGTTCAAGCTCTGCCCAAGGAAACCAAGTATGAAAACAGCAGCAGCAGCACAGGCTTTAGGGGACTTGCCACGCGGTGCAGTTACGTGCTCGGGACCCAAGAGGGAGTCCAGACCTCTTCCAGCCTCCACACAGGCCTCTCTGTGCAGCCCTAGGCAGCTCAGCAATCTGCTAAGGGCGCTCGAGAAACGCTGCCTGTCACACGTGCTTAACACCGGTCAAAGTTGTCAGAGGACTGCAAGGCCCAACGCCCTGGAGGGCACTTGCGCACACTGAGATGCCAGTGGGACAAATGTGGGAGCAGTGTGGGACCACCTCTGGACGTGCAGTCCGCCACTGAGACACTGCCATGTGACACACGACTGTACTGAAGTACTTAAATGCATTTGTATGCCACTCTGAAAGTAAAACCTCTCACCTGTGTTTCTGGAGAACACAGTGGGAGAAGGCAGCACAGCCCCCGCCCGCCCTCGGCACGACTCCACTCTCACGCCCTCTCCCCAGAGCAGCCCCGGTGGCCCCCCGCCCTCGTGTGGCTGACTCCATGTCCCTACCGTCAGACAATTATGGAAGTCAGCTAAGCCCTCAAGGGTCCCTTCTGCCAACCTCTATAGCATGGCCTCACGGGGACAACAGGCCACGAGCGGACCTCAGCCACAGCAAACACTGTGGGGTCCCAAGAGTTGCCAGGCCGAACTGAGCGAGCGCCTCAGCGGGCCCTCCCTTCCCCACCAGCCCCCAACTCAGTCCCCTTCCCGACTCACCCCGAGTGCCCCTGCCACCACTCCCCTCAGCACCATACMTCACGCTCACCAAAGGTGCAGGCCCAGAAACCACCCGACACGTGCCAGGAGGTGTGCCGCTCCACCATTCCTGAGACAGCCTTTCCCCAGCCACAGCCCCACTGGTCCAGGGAGGACGCACATCCACGACCCAACTCCAGGTCACACCTCTGGAAACTGCTGTTTAAACTCTACCTCTGTTTCCGCCTTGGAGTCTTTAAAGGATCCATCTGAAAACTTCTTAGATATCTCCCCTGAACTTGCTGACTGTAAAAAAATATATATATATATTTTCCTTCAAATTTTGGAAATATTCACATATGTAATACCTAAAAACAAATCAAGCTCTGGTCCATTGGTCCACGATAGTGACGTACAAACAAGACAACCCTTGGCACAGACCTGAGCAGTCTGTCCGGTCACTGCTGCTGGAACCTCAGTGTTCCTGGCGAGCAGCACCGGGGCTAGGACACCAACACTCCTGCCTGGCAGGGGACTACGCAGAGGCCAATCCCCCGACCATGACAGCCCAGGAGGTGCAGAATGGGATGGGATGAATTTAAACTCCAGGGCCCACAAAATATTTGTCCGTCTTCTGATATCTGAGCATCTTCTAACAACGGGGCAACTGGAATGGCGAGACTCTTCATAAGCRAAGGCTGYAGACAGACAGGCAGGAAGGCACCCTCCTAAGCCACATGACTCCTGTCAATGCCATCTACACATCTGGACACAGGATGTCAAAGGACACTCGTTCAGCATTTCAATAATGAAACATGCTCTTCAGACAGACACATCAGATGGTACAGGTGGTCATCACTCAATGGTCAGGGGGCCCAGCAGGTGCCACACTCATGTGCTCAMCATGTAGGGTGACATCTGGGGCTCATGGACGGCCAGTCTAACCTGGCACCTGGGCTCCAGCCACCACACCATATCCCCGTAGCACTCCTGACTTCTCAGGATGCCTCCGTCTCTATCTTACCGTCCTCCACACAAACCATGGGCAGGCCGGGTGCACACCTATAACCTGAGCAACTCACAGGAGGCTGAGGCAGGAGAATGGCAAGTTCCAGATCAGTCTCAGCAACTTAGTGAGACCCAGTCTCCAAAGAAAAATAAAAAGGGCTGGGGATGTGGCTCAGTAGTGGAGTGCTTGCCAGCGTCATGCAAGGCCCTGGGCTAACCTCCCAGGACTGCCAATAAAATAAAAGAAAGAATTTGTCTGGGCAGCCTGCGCACTCCTGTCGCCCTCCCTCCAAGACAGTCAGGCTTTGGCCAGAGCGGGCAGTGATGTGGCAGAGCAGGGCCTGAACTGCCATCTCCTGCCTCCACTAAGACTGACATCCTCAGGGCCATTTTACAAGTCACTTGAACCAGGATCTTTGAGAGGCACCTCACGGCAGCTCATACCTGCATGGTGCTTCTGACCAGGAGACCTTGCTGCTGTTGTCCAGATCAGCACAGCTAATAAAGACGCCCCAGATTCACAAAGGCCAGGCAAACAGAATCACCTGAAAGACTTACTAAGCAAATCCACTTCACCTCACTGTGGCCTCCAGCCCTTCTCAACAAAACCATCTTTCCCACTTGGCTCTCACACATCCCAAATATCAGTCTGCAAACATTTATCTTTAGAATTTTCTTTCTCTCTATTAAAGCGACTAGTTGCAGCATTGGCAATTTCAGTGAACTCAATATGGGAGGCTCTATCTGAAGACCCCAATGGCGGAGGAGGCTATCCACTCAGGGGCTGTCTCATGCACACAAAAAATATACCAGACATGCCAKCACCTACAAACATACCAGAACACGCCAGCTACAAAAAGCAGATCAGGGCGAAATACTTTTTCTCAGGCTGTTAAAAAGTGGTAAAGAGGGAGGCTGCACCCTCACCCTCCAGGGCCCCCAGGTCTTTATGGCACAGAACCAGGGTGTGTTAGTTACTCCAGACGTGAATGGAGGGAAAGCGATACTATGAAGACTACAACCTGACAGTCCCCCCTAGAATACCAATTTCAAATACTAACAAAACCACATCTTTTTGGATAGGTGCCCCCTTGCTTGCTGCAGCGGGCAGAGAAAAGTTTATGCCGACTTGCAGAGAAAAACCAGTTTACAGACTTCCAGCAAGGTCGGTCCTATGGAGCCCACTCCCAGGGACAGGGATGCCCCAGAGGCAGCACTACTGAACAAGACGGCCAGTGGGGGCAGGGAGCTGGAGGCCAGCCCAGGCCTTGCCCTCACTGCCCAGCTGCATCACCTGGGCAGTCCAGGAGCCAGGCCAGACCTCTGCCTCCCCTGCCAGCAGCCACAGACCAGACCACTGTCCTGTCTTCTCAGGATGATGTCCCACAAGAAGGGCATCTAGAAAGGCAACTTGCTCATTTAGAAGACACAGTCTGAAACTCAAGGCTTCTGGCCAGTCGTAAAATTACCTGAAAATTCCATTAAACAAGAATGGCAGGGGCTGGGGTTGTGGCTCAGCGGTAGAGCACTCGCCTAGCAAGTGCAAGGCCCTGGGTTCAATCCTCAGCACCACATAAAATAAATAAGCAAAATAAAGTACTGTGTCCAACTACAACTAAAAAATAAATAAATAAATAAATATAAAAAGAATTACAGTAACCTGAGGTCTTATTGTACCGATCTGCCAGTGTCCAAAAGACTTGGTGTCTCTACTCCTTAACAAACTCAGTAGTGCCCGAGCTCCACCACACAGCCACTGACCCTGCCGAAACGCCACTTCCAATGACGCCAGGGACCAGCTCCACCAAACACAAGTGCAGGCCATGTCACAGAGTTGCAAAGCAACATATCTCGGCACATCTGGCAAGATGACAAGGGCAACTGGGCAAATGAACTCAACCCCTGAAAACRGAATAAGCTCACAAAGAGCGAGCGCCCCGCGGTCTTTTCCCAGCTTCCTCCAAGCTACCTCCCGCCACCCCCAGAGCAGCGCTCCTCACAAAGAGGCCAGGAAGGCCTGTGACTGACCTGCCACCCGGGGTTCACTGGTCTGAAGACCCCATCAGCCCTGCCTGGTCCTCCGCTCGCCCTTCACCACACAGTCCTCTGGGCCCCCGGGGCCACCACAAGCTCTTCAAGAATGGCCATGCATTTAAAACCAGGCACCCTGGCAGAACCGTGACCTCGCTGGGTTCCCACCAGGAAGGCACAACTTTAAACCGCCACAGAAGGAAACCCTCAGGCACGGCCGGCTCCCCCAAAAAGCCAGCTCCCAGGCTGTTACCTTTCTCTCCAGCTTCTCCTGCTCTCGGTTCTTCTCCCTGTCGGGGTCCCTGGAGTGCTCCCCGTTTCTCGCTCTCCGCCGCTCCCGGTCCTTGCCCTTGTCGCGGTCGCGGTCGCGGTCGCGCTCCCGGTGCCGCTCCTTCTCGCGCCCTGCCTCGCCCCTCCTCTCCCGCTCCTTGTCCCGGTCTGCGTCTCTGTCCTTGTTGCCTCTGTCTCTGTCCCTCTCTCGCTCCTGCCTGGCCCTGCTTCTGCTTTTCTCCTTCTCCCCTTCCCGGTACTTGTCTCTCTCCGCGTCTTTGTGTCGGTCTCGGTCACTGTCCTTCATCTTCTCCTTGTCCCTTTCTTTTTCTCTTGATTTGCTTTCTTCTTTCAGTTCTTCTCTCTGTTTTCCATCTCTGCTTGTACTTCTCTCTTTTACTTCTGAATTTCTTCTATCCTAAAAATATATGTATACATAAATATAAACGTTTTTACCTAAACTGCAAAAAGACCGTTTCATTCTTAAAGAAGTGCCACTACAGTCACCTCTCTATCTCTGTGAGCTCTCGAGTCGTCTTCCCTCACATTCTTATTGTCCGACTCGTGAGGCTTGGAGGTCCGGGAGGCCCTTCCTCTCGCGTCCGCCTTCTCTCCAGCCAGAACTCTCCGCACTGCATCCTCGCTGGAGAGCTTTTTCCGCAGGCCAGGAGGTGAATGCAAGGCAAAAACGAGATCAGCACAGGCAACAACACAAACGCCAGCAAAGAGAGTTCATTCGACAGATTTTGTATGAGTAAAATTTGAATGAAATATTAAAAGAAAATGTCATTATCATAGACAAAGCCCTGTGTCTCTTGATCACCATGACTAATGACTCATCACTAAGCCCTAGTCCAGTCCCACCTATGCTGCCCAGGGTGGACGTGAGTGTGGTTCAGGAGCAGTAAAGCTGAAAACCACACAACTCACAAACCTCTCCACCTCCACTGGGATCAGGGTCCTAGCAGAAAGGGCCTTCAGAGGTGACTCGACCACCTCATTCCCTAAAAACTAGCACGCTCTGAGGCTAGGACACCAAGAGGTGGAGCAAGCCCAGTGCAGGCCTGTGGTGCCTGGAGTAGGGGGCACAGGTGTRGGAGGCGAGGACGGAAGTTGAGGAGCAGCTCCTACAGCGCCCCTCGCCCTGGGTGGGTAAAACGCTGTCCACAAAGGAGGCAACACCAGCTTCAAAAGACAGCTTCGGGCTGCCAGGCCAAAAGCAAAGCACCTACCAGGCCCCACGTACTACAGAAAGCCTGCCATCCTGTGTTTTGCAGGCCCTGGCTCACAATCACAGAAGCTCCTCCTGCACCTCCAAGCTCCAGAATACTTGGGACCCAACTCAAAGTGCAAGGTTCAATGGGTACCACTGGAAATACCTCCCACGATATTTAGTCACTCACTCCCCCTCCACTTCTTGCCACTCAGCACTACTAAGTTTAAAATGCCAGTGCTGCAGTGTCACAGTGTGGATGCAGCACTTTCCAATGATCTGAAGCAGCATTACCTTGTTAATGCAGCACTTTGCAATTATCTGAAGCAGCTCGTTTGTTCTTTCAGGCTCGTGCCCGGCCACGATTCGGGCTGGTTTTGCCAACAAAGGCTCTCCTGAAACCATCACGACCACATCTATGGCCTTCTGGAGGAAGCTAATTTTTGCATCTTTATCCTGAAATGTTTCCATTTAAAATAGAAATATTAACATACTTCAAAGAGTTTGCATTATCATCAGAATGTTTGAAAGACATGGGTTAGCCTCTTTATAGAAAAAGCACTTTTTAGATATATGACAAATTTAGAAATACTGTCCTTTTATAACACAACAAAATTCATGAAAGCTATTAAGTTAGCTGATGGGCTGCATTAACCTTTGAAATACTAATTCTGCTTTTCAGTTGATAAATTTAGCACAACATGCACTGGCCACAAACAAGAAGATGAAATGAGAAAGGTCCACGCCATTCGTGAGTTAAAGGGCTTCGTCTCCCAACTACACACAGCATTTTCCTCACACAAGGGGTAGCCGCGGCCTAAAACCATCTGTTCACTCAGGGGAAGAACAGGGAGAGGGGGAGCCCCGCGCCAACCTACCTTGACGTTATCTGACTTCATCTCAACATCTGTGTAGAGGCCCTTCATGAACCCAGTGGTCCTAATCACCTTCAAAACACAAAAAAGAAATTCATGCACCTCCCGGGACATCTGCTGACCCCCCACCAGCGCCCAGGAGTCTCACTGTCCACTCTCTATAAATGTTTACGTCATGAGTGCAGAATGCTGTGACGCAGAACACAACCAGGCCTCAGGACATCCTGGCTGCAAGCACAAAGAGTGCCAACACCCAGGGGTGCCAGGGCAGCCCACAGGAGGGGAGGGCCCAGGTGCCAGGGACTGCTTCCCAGGGGAGAGCAGACCTGAACTGGACCCAGAAGCTAACAGAAGAGCTGGGGAAGAGGGCATTTGGGAAGCACTTGACCAATCAAAGAAATCTACTCCATGAGGGACGGAACAATTCGGATGGAACAAATCTTGTTTGTGGCCAGAGCATGTTGTGCTGATTTATCAACTGAAAAGCAGAATTAGTACTTTAAAGGTTAATGCAGCCCATCAGCCAACGTAAAAGCTTTCACGAATTGTTTCTGTTGTATTATAAAAGGTCAGTATTTCTAAATTTTCAAGGGATCCAGAAAAGTGTGAGACAGCAGGAGTCTGAGGCCTCCAGAGTCCGGCAGGGCCTGACCCGGAGGCTCTTTGCAACCACTTAGGGACACAAACTATGCTTACGAGACCGGGCAGTTCTAACACAGAGAGGCCAGGCCACTCTGAGCTTCACTGGAGTCCCCCAGGCACGGTGGCGGGAATGGAGACCAGAAGGAAAAGGAAGAGCTTAGCCTGGGCATCCAAACCAGAATCTACAGATGGGTCCTCCTCACTTCTTAGGATGGTGGGGTACCATGCATCTATGTCATCACTTCTGTTCTCCCCCTACCTGCCCCTCCCCCTCAGGTAACCTGAACCCTGAAATATCCTGAAAGGGCTGTGGTTTGCTCTGTCCCTCCCTGTCCCCCACCCAGCATCCTGGATATCTTAAGGTCAGAGTAATTAAAAATGTGAGGGTTACTGAACAATCAAAACAATGGATTTTCTAAAAAATGAAACAGAACAGAAAATATCAGGTGTATCCTCCGGAGGCCTGTAGATGTGTGTCCTAGGTCAGCTGTAGCTTTATTACTGTGAATCAGGTTTTAAAAACCAATGGCAAAAGACAGGCCTGGGAGTCAGCCAACTACTGCGTTGTTTTGTTTGGCTTTGTTCTTAGAAGATGGCTAGAATGTGGACTCTTAAAAGCATCCCACCCTTAATGTTCCTGACAACTGCTCACTTCTTCTGGGTTGAGGTTTTCCCAGGGTGCAGGCAGTTTATATTGTGAGCAGTAACTGGAAGCAACAAGAAACAATATCACAGAACCTTGTTTAACCTAATAAAAAACGCTGTTAGTTAGCTACAGCTCCATATTTAGACACTGACTTGAACAAGACATTCAGGGGCAGTAAGAATCTTCACAGGACACTCTCCACCCACCATATAAAAATGCTTTTCAGCGTCAGCCATTCTAATGCCTTGTCAAGGAGGTGTCAGTGCATTTATCTTGACACCGAAAAAGAAATTAATTTCAGCATTAGAAAAAGTTTAGAAGAAAAGCAGACCTGCTCCCAATGGAGCATATACCTCATTCCATACCTGCCTACCAGGCCACAGAGCGGATTCCTGCTTGAATGTGCCTCCTCCATCCCACAAAACACCCTTGGACCAACCAGGACAAGGTCATTAAGCCCCACCCACAAGCTCCCCCAGGATGAGCACACTCCCCTGTGGCACTCCCCTCTTCTAACCCTGCCATTCCTTTTGGTTACCTGCAGCCTTCTCACTGAAAGGTGCTCCCTAAGTCCTGAGAATGGAAGTATTCTTTAGGCTCCCTCCCCCTCAAAGTTTCTCTTCCCTCCAGGTGCTTTCCTCGGGTGGCCCTGCATTTCATGAACTGCCAGGAGCAGCACAAAAAATGAAGTATAGCTTTGCAGCCTCAGCTCCAACAGGTCAGGCTGCAGGCAGGCCAGTTCTTCCTCGCTCCCTCAGGATCAGGGGATGACACCTGCTACTTCACAGAGTGGTGGTGACACAGCACACTGCCTGGCTCCCATGGGACTCTCTACACAGCTGGGTCCCTTCCCCATACACCATCCAGGACAGGCTGTAAGGGCTGTGCAATCCAAGAGAAGGAGACCACCAGTCAAAACAGGAGTGTGGGTGATTCCTAGAGCTTTTCTGCATGAGCAGGTTTGGGACAGAGGCACACCGTTCCAGGAGAGTACACACCACAGCTGGTAGGATGGCCAAAATCAACACGGAATGAGAATAAAGTTTGAGAGCCCTCATTCGGTGAGACTAGGAGCCCTGGGAGCGTGCAACCTGACCCCTTAGTCCCAGAGAGCACCTGGRCCCCTAAGCCCTCTGGTGCACCTTGAAATGGGTGCTGCCACCCCTTGAGGCAACACTCCTGAGTTACTAAGCACCTGGACAGACTGCCAAACAGTGAATGTTTGTTGTGCAATTTCTATGTACCCAGTGCAGCTCACTGGAGATGCACTAACAAATCAGTACCGTCCTGTCATTGAGAAATCCACCGTCCTTAAGTGAGAAAGTCACAGGGACAATAACCTCAAGTTAAAGCAGGCTGTGCAGTTTATCCACAAATATCAAACGACATTTTTACAGCTTTCCTTTCAGAAAACCAATATATTTATTATATTTCCTACAACCAATATATTTATTCTCCTTCGTGTATTTATTAAGCATTCTAACTCCGGTGACTGCACCACGCAGTCGTGAGAGAAACTCTGAGGAGGGAGCCTAAAGAATAACTCCACCCTCCCACGACTTGGGGAGCACCTTCCACGTGAGAAGGCTGCAGGGCAACCCAGGGGAATGACAGGGTTAGAGGGGGAAGTCACCGAGGGCTCTGAAGAGACGCGCCCGTGGGTAGGAGAGAAACGGGAAGGTTCCCGGGGCGGGCGCCTGCGACCCCAGCCACCCGGGAGGCCGCGGCAGGAAGACSGCCAGGTCAGGGCCAGCCTGGGCGACTGGTCGGGGCCCAGACTCCAATTAAACGTCAACAGGGCTGGACGCGGCTCGGCCGGGGAGGCGCGCAGAGGCACAGCGCCCGCGTCCAGTCCCCGGGCCCCCGAGGCGGGACCCCCRCAGGAGCCGGGCCTGCGCTCCGGGTGGGCATCTCCCAGCCGATCTCCCGGCGCAGCGCCCCCCGGCCCGGCCCACGCCGCCCGGCGCGCACCTCCGTGACGATGTCGTGCAGGTAGCGGAACGGGGGCTTGCTCAGCAGCTTCTCCGTCAGCGGCGGCCTGCGGATCACCTTGCCCAGCGCCTCCTGCGTCCGCCGCACCACCGCCGCGTTCATGGCCGTGCCGCCGCGCGGCTGCCCGCCCGCGCCGCYCCGCCCGCCGGGTCCCCGCGGCCGCAGCGGAGAGCCGGACTCCCATCCCACAATGCACTGCAGCGCGCGCGGCGCCTGCGCGGCCCGCCCCCGGTCGCCAGGGCTGCGCGGCCTTAGCAACGGGCGCTCGTGGGGCCCGCCTCTCCCGAAGCCCGCCCTCATAGGCCCCGCCCCGGACGCAGCCCCGCCCACAGCCTCTCCCTGACCGCAGCGCTCGCCCCGCCCACAGTCCCCCTGACCCGCTCCGCTGCCCGCTCCTCAGCCCCGCCCCTCCGCAGCGGAGCCCTGCTGTCCCGCTGCCCTGCTGCCCAGCTGACCTCCTGACCAGCCCGCTCTGCCCACTGGCAGAGGCCGCGGTGGGCCGCCTAGCACAAGTAGCTCCCAGGACCTGCGCTGCCTGACAGGCACAGTTCAAGGGGCGCGTAGGCTCAGGTGAATGGACGGGGCTGCGCCGAGTCCTCCACAGACACGAGGAGGCGGTGTCTGGCCCCACTGGTACTCCACGGCTTCTGGGGCGAGGGCTTCTTTTCTCTGACAATTCATTTCTGTTCCTATAAAGGAGGCTACTAACGCGTCGCCCAGGAAGGTGAGGACTGCGTGATGTCCCCTGTTCCACCTCCTGTCCCACCGCACAAACCCTCTCGGCAGTGTGGGGGCTCTGTATTCTGCGTTTATTCTTCCAGTGAAAGCTTTTATGGCTTTTAAATTTACATCCGCTTTTTACCATTTTGCATACTCTTCATTCTTTGTGTAGATCTAGATTTCCACCCGGTGCGTACTCCTGTCTGAAGAACTCCTTCTCTAGTATTTATTTTTGCACCGTTAAGCTGGCAACTAATGCTTCATCTTTTATGTATCCAAAAATCTTTATTTATCTTCACATTTGAAAGAATTTACCACGCTCAAATGGGGGGAGGTTATATAGACTACCAGTCTCAAGTCAGGCTGTATGGCTTATCAATAAATACTGAACTGCATACGTTTTCTTTTCTTCATTACTGTCCCTTGAACTCAGGGGTCCTCCACCACCGACCTACATCCCCAACCCTTTTTATTTATTTATTTATTTTTGAAACAGTGTCCCGCTAAATTACTGAGACTGAACTCCAATTTGCAATCCTCCTTCCTCAGCCTAGAGTGAAGTTGCTGGGATTACAGGCCTTCCATAACATACCCAAACTAAACTGGATTCTTGTAATTTGCTTTCAGGTCTCCCTACAACCACCTACAGTAAATTCACCCTCAATTATTTAATAAATGTACAAGTATTAGAATTCTGATTGACTTTTTTCTTTTGGTACTTTGAGAATGTCACTTCATTGGCTTCTGGTTTACATAGTTTCTGAAAAGCAGTCTCCTGGAATTCTCATTTGTTGTGCTTTGTTTATGTTTCTGCCTGTCTTAAAGATTTTTTTTTTTTACTATTGGTTTGTCAGAGGTTTGCCAATGATATATGTAGATGTATAGTTATATTTTGCTTTTGTTTTTTCAGACAGGGTTTTGCTGTGTTGCCTGGGCTGGCCTCAATCTCACACTCCTCCTGCCTCAGCCTCATGATCACCTAGGATCACATACCTCTGCACCAAACATGAACATGTGCATTTTCACCTAAAATTTATGTACGATAATTGTGTTCGCATTGGTTGGGGAAGTGCCGGATAGGATGTTCTGGTTGGTGGTTCCTGGAGGAGCCACGTGGCGTTCGGGAGAGTTCCTGGGGAGCGTGTGTGGAGTGTGCTAGTGGAGTTCAGAAATAAAGTTTGTTCCTGCTTGAGTGGCTCATGATTTGTGCCCAGCCAGACTGCGGCATTTGGTGGTCCGTGCGGGGGAATGCCTGAAGCTCGGAGGTAAGTGAAATTGCTCACCCCTGAGGGAAGGCGAGAGAATGGGTGACCATTTCAAAAAACAATGTGTTCTTGTTTTGCTTTGTTTTGTTTTTGTTTCAAGCTGCCTATCCCTAGAACTTTCTCAGGCAAACTGGGAAAAATGGTTGGCTCAAGGTTTGAAGTTGTTCGCCCCTGAGGAGGAGATAGAAATAGACCACAAATGCACATGTCAAGAAAATAGGAAAACTGATACAATGATTTTTGTTCCGTTTTTGTTGCATTCTGTTTCGGTTTTGTTTTGCGTTAT